CATAGTCTGTTTTAGAATTTAACTCTAAGAGACCTGAGTCTAAACATGAAACACATGATGATAGATCATAATTTGGAGTCTAACCTGAGGCAGAGAGCAGGTGCACGATTAAATACTGCTTACAGTCAATAAGTCTAAGAGATAGACTTGAAGGAATATAGAAGTTATAATTATTACCTAGGATTAAGAGATAACGTATGGAGTCATTATACTGCCCTTTTTCGTTGATGATTACGGGACGTAATCATCCTAAGGGGGAGATAACTGTAACGCCCGTAGATCCGGGATAGTCAATTTAGAGACAATAAGTGTCGAAAATGACTTTTCGACAAAATATTATTTAGAATAAATAATATTAACCAAGTTGTAGAATATGTTACAAGGTTTCCGTACATATAAAGAACACCGAAATCCGAGTTATAACGAAGAAGTTATGACCCGTTGAAGTTTCGCGACGGAATCGGTACGATACCGGGAAGCGTAAATAGTGAATTTACGATAGAGCGAGATTTAGCCTTAGCAATCTAAACGAAAGTCGTAGAATATGCTAACTAAGAACATCGATAAAAAGAACGCCCAAATCTGACTTCGTATGAAGAAGTTATGATTTTTCGAAGTTTCGGATTAGTAGTGTACAGCCCGAAATTCGAATATTAGATCGAGCGGTTTTTAGCCGACACAACCTGAATGAGAATCGAAGATCTCGTTAAGAGTAGCGTAACGAGAAAAAGACGGACGAAAACGGACGTCGGATGAAGAAGTTATAAGGATTTAACGGACCAATCATGTCTCGGCCTGTCAATAATATAAAATTTAAAATCGAATCAAAAATAATTGAGGGAGTCTCAACGAAAGTTGTAGAGTACGTTCCCACCTTCGCGTGGATATAAAGAACGTCGAAAACGGAGCTCGTATGTGAAAGTTACGATTTTTAGAAGTTGAGAGTGCAATTTGCGAAGCTGGTGATGACGTGGCAAGATCCTAGCCTTCCCTTGCTCCCCACGGTCTCGCATCCGATGACCGACGCATCGCCCTTTGCTTTACGCCCCGCGTCCGAGTTCGGTACGCCCCGCATCCGAGTTCGGTACGCCCAGCGTACCTCGGTTCTTATCCATCCAAGTCCAAAGTGCGAGCCAGCTGGTGCGAGCTGGCAACCCTATCCGGAGTTACGCCCAGCGTAACCGAAGGCTACGCCCAACGTAGTCCGAAGTCAGGCGCCTATAAAATCCATGCGAGATGTTCCGGATTTCTCACTCATTTCCACCTTCTTTCTCTCACTACTTTCTCTCTCTAAGTGCTATAAACCCCCCTAAGCCCTAGATAAAACCCCTAGCCCCCGAGGGAAGCCCCGAGGCTCCCGGAGTCCCAAGAAAAAGTGTCTTTTGGTTTCGAAATGCTGCTCCAATTAAGTTCCGGTTTTCGATAAAATTCGCTGTTTTATCGAAGGAAATTGTTTTGAGAGTATCGAAGCGCTGTTCGAGTACTAAGTCACCACCTTTCAAGTGAGTGCATGGTCCCTTTCATCTTACACATAGATATGAAGTATTTTATTATACATTACGTGCTATGTGCGCATATTGTCTGAATACTTGCTGTCTATGCTGGTGAAAGATTTTTATACATGTTTTAAATGATGTAAACTGTATAAAGTATTTTATATCTACAAAATATGTTGGGTAAAACATGGGTAGATGAATGATGAGGGATAAAAGCTGAAATAGAGGAACATTAGTAGCATGGACCTAGTGCCCTATAGGTATACATTGGCAGCAGTGGACCTAGTACCCTATAGATGAGCACTGGCAGCTGCGCCACAACCCGTAGATGTTTCAGATCTACGGTAAACGTCCTAGCAGCTGCGCTCTAAGGACAGTATAGGCAGCTGCGCCTAATAGGGAGCCTTATGACTATGACAGTAGCGTTTAAAGGTCAATACTAGCAGAAGCGCCTCATAGAAAATGTCCCAATTCTGGCAGCTGCGCCTAAGTGACCAGATTAGTAGCTACGCTTGACCAATGTGTCATTGGCAACAATGGACTTCATGTTATTTCCTTAGGATGATCCTTAGGAATGAATGAATGAGAAACAGCTGATTCTTAGGGTAGATCCTTAAGAATAAAGAAGATAATGGGGATGGGTAATTGGGTTGATTGTTTGATTGTTTAAACATAATAATTATATTATTGTGGGTTGAAAACCCTATGTACTCACCAGGTTTCCCAACCTGACCCACTCAGTTTATTTATATAACAGGTGTTGATATGAAGTCACATTACACTGAGAGATTTAAAGAGATGTAGATCACTAGTGTAAATAAATGTAAGTTCTGTTTATGCTTATGTTTCTGTATTAACGATGACATCCCAAATGTTTTGAAACGAATAAATATGTTTCTTCGAAAATGTTTTAATAACGTATTTATCATGTTTTTCTGGGAACAAATTCCGCAACAATATTATTAAAAGAAGAACTCTGATTTTTATAAAGTATAGACAAAATCGGTCTTTTCTGGCCGTGAAAATGGGGATGTCACATGATGCCATAAAAGTCCATTGCATCATGCTCGTGACCATGACTACTGAACTCCAAAAGTCCTATGAGGACTTCTATCCCTACGAAATGCACCAGGATTTACTAGACAGGTACCACCAAAGTGCCAAGCATGAGAGGTACGAGATCATCACTTCGATGATCACGACCAAGATAAGGGACAAAAAGTCTATCACTGCTCATCTGCAGAAAATGCAAAGATATGTCGGCCGCCTGCAGAATTTAAATGTTGCCTTCGATGAAGAGCTGTCGATTGATATTATTCTTAACTCCTTGCCTCCTTGCTACAACCAGTTCTGCATGACCTACTACATGAAAAAAGAGAAGGCCACGTTGAGCAAGCTTCAAGGACTGTTGAGGACTGCTGAGAGAAACCTCAAGGACAAATCTGTTGCACCAACTCCTACTGCTACTGTTGCCCCAGTCTTGGTTATTGGGCAAGAGAAGGGTAAGAAAAGGAAGGCTCCTTCAAAGATCCACCATAAGGGAAAGTCTCATGATGACACTTCTTCTAGTGGAACCAAGGATGGTCCCGTTGCACCCACCTCAAACCCGAAGGATGCAGAGTGCTACTAATGTCATGACAAAGGGAATTGGAAACAAAGTTGCCTGAAATATCTGCAAGATATCAAGGATGGAAACATGAAGTCGTCCTTCGCAAGGCCGAAGAAGAAATAGGGATGTGGGGCATGGGAAGATAAAAGTTTTTATATAGAAAAAATAAGATTTTTATGTGAAAATATGTTTTTTTTTGTATAAATATAAGTTTTAAAGAAAAAACATATTAGAAACAAAATTTTGAGAAAAAAAAAGTTGTAAAGAAAACTAAAGTTAGGATGAATTCATAATAAAAATCCTAAAATTTGGGCAAAAACGGTAAATTTTGGACCAAATTTGTAAAAAAAATTAATAATTTGGGCCAAAAGTGAAAATTTTTGACCAAATTTGTAATAAAATTTGAAATATGGGCCGAAAATATAATTTTTGAAAGTTGGATAACCTGTTGACCGGGTCAAAGGGTTAAATTGAATACGATTACCGGTATTTGGGACTTAATTGAATAAAAAAAATATATAAGGGCTAAATCGATTATGAAGCCAATATGTAGCGACTTTATTGCAGTTTTCTCTATATATTTATTTTAGTTAATGTTATTATTATTATTGTTGTTGTTAATTTAACCCTTAACATCTATATAATGATTTTTATTTAAATTAATTAACCTGTCAAACTTATAAAACTTAGTCTTTAATTATATAATTTCTCGTTATAATTTATCAATCATATTTCGAAATCATTAAATGGAAACGAAAGTTACAATTCACCCCACTTGAACTGGATTTTGTCTCGAAATCTGCCACGACTATCTCAAAGAATACAAATTAGAGGCAACACTTTTAGTGAATCAACAAAAGGGTTCTCTAGATATACCCATCACCCTATCAATGGATAACTCAACACATAACATCCTATAGCACACAATCTAAAACCTGACGGGCTCCACCCCATCATGAGTAAAATAATCTCAATCTATAAATCTACACATTCTGGTGGAGCACCAACTAATTCCAACTATATCACTTTATCCCCATACTTAAAGAAATATATCATCGAACACTTATTTACTTCTACACTTGCGATGATGCTTGATTACAATATAAGACAGGGAAATCATGCATACCCTTTCTGAAACTAGCCTACAATTACCTATCTATGGCAATAGATAACCGATTTATATTGTGAGGTAACCAAGTTCCAACATTCCAATACACGGCCCGGTGATCCAAATATTTCCTCACAAACATATATGACACTCCCATATTGATCCATTGTAAAGACAAGTTCCCAGTATTTCCTATAAGTTAACTTCAATACACAACCCGAGTTGTTCATATGCTCCCTTTCAAAGATACTTAACGCTCCGAAGGGGAACTTACTTAACAGATCTCATATGTCGCAAGGACACCTCATGCATCACTTCTGAAGATACTCAAAGTTTTCTCGACTTCAACTTATGTGTTGTTGGGTTGTTGTGTTTTAACCTATTTTCCAGGAAGTATAAAAATGTGAAATAGATTCCAACCAAATTTAACGAGTTCATAGACTAGGGTTTGCACAATTTTTAAGTTGAGAAAGAGATTGGGATTTCGATTTCAAGCTTCTAATTCTAATTTAAGTCGTAATCTCTAACCTAAGTTAAATAAAAATAAAACACACTTCTTTTAAGTTTTAAAATATACATATGTTATACACACTTCTTTTAAGTTAAATAAAAATAAAACACACTTCTTTTAAGTTATACATATGTTGGGTCGGATTTTTTTGTTTGGTTTATACATTAGGTTTGTTCGGTTTTTTTTGGTCGGCTTGTAAAGTTGATAACAATAGTCTCTTGAGGATATATAAACACAAGTATAGAACAATAGCAATAATAATCCTAACATTAGTATTTAGTAATGAACAATTAACTTCTTGGCCACTAAACGGATTCCAGCATTTCCTGGATAGTTATACGGTTCTAAACACAAGTTAGCGTCCACAAAGCCACCGGGACAAAACAACCAATCCAATTCTGCCACATCATAACTACTATTTGAAACCAGTTGTGGTGTAGACAAAGACGATGATGATGATGATGATGACTCCTTTTGGTATATCTCTGTCATCCACCCTCTACTATCTCCATGTTCAGTCCTTAAGCTGTACAAATTACAAATTACTCATACTAATAATTCAAATACAATCATAGTTTTTTATTTTTATTAAAACAAGGACTGTATATATATATATATATATATATATATATATATATATATATACATATATATATATATATATATATATATATATATATATATATATATATATATATGGTTGGGTTCAACAAGGAACCATTTTAAACCTTATAACCAACGAACTAATCTTTTCTCAACTTTTAGAGCAATTTTTTCATCAAACAAAAATCTGAATATATAGATATTCATAACTATTTATCCTCCATCCATTGATATCAAATTTGATAAATAAAAAAATTAATCTGTTTAGATTCACACTGTGAATTTGTTTAAATTCACATTGTGAATCTATGCAGATTAACCCTGTGAAATTTGTATAGATTCACACTATGAATTTGTGCAAATTTATATAGTGAATTTATACAAAATTAGTGATTTATACTGTAGATTCACAATGTGAATCCGAACATATAAAAGAAATAAAATAAAAAAATATATTAAATTTGATATCAATGGAAAGAAGATAAAAAGTTATGAATTTTTGTATTTTTATAATTTTATAATTTTTTTCGATGAATAATAAAATAAAAAGTTATGAATTTTTGTATTTTTATAATTTTTTTCGATAGATATATATATATATATATATATATATATATATATATATATATATATATATATATATATATATTCATTGTGACCCCTATTTCTACTTTAGTAGGTGTTAAAACTAACATGATTTTTTATTTATCATACATACTTTATAAAATAGCATCTTGCTTTTTGAAACGATTTCTCATTTTATAGGTTAGTCATAAAACTTACTTTAATCTAATGGTGGGTGAGTCATAAAACATTCTGTTAACAAGAGGTCTCCATTCAGAGTTGCAATCAAAACCTATGAATCTCTTAGTAATATTATCACATGCATCAAGTAGATCACATAGATTTGGAGAGTTTGCATCCACCACAAAACTTAAGAGTGGTCTTCCAGCATGATCGAGATATTTTGTGCTTAATCCAAACCGTATTCTCATCGAATCACATCGGATCTGTAACGGGATGTCTTTATGAAGGATTTGTATTTTGTGGAACCTATGAAAATAGGGAGAAACGGATACTATAGTGATTGACGCCATGGAAACTTCATTATATGGAATGGCGTTATCAGATTCAACTAGAAATTGAATTTGTTCCCTTGGATTTATAGATTCCTGTGTGATTGATATGTTTGAGTGAGTTTGCATTATAACACGGAGATAATAATTGTGAAACACAACAACCCAACAACACATAAATTAACAACATTCCAATACACGGCCTGGTGATCCAACTATTTCCTCACAAACATATATGACACTCCCATATTGATCCATTGTAAAGACAAGTTCCCAGTATTTCCTATAAGTTAACTTCAATACACAACCCGAGTTGTTCATATGCTCCTTTCAAAGATACTTAACGCTCCGAAGGGGAACTTACTTAACAGATCTCATATGTCGCAAGGACACCTCATGCATCACTTCTGAAGATACTCAAAGTTTTCTCGACTTCAACCTATGTGTTGTTGGGTTGTTGTGTTTTAACCTATTTTCCAGGAAGTATAAAAATGTGAAATAGATTCCAACCAAATTTAACGAGTTCATAGACTAGGGTTTGCACAATTTTTAAGTTGAGAAAGAGATTGGGATTTCCATTTCAAGCTTCTAATTCTAATTTAAGTCGTAATCTCTAACCTAAGTTAAATAAAAATGAAACACACTTCTTTTAAGTTTTAAAATATACATATGTTATACACACTTCTTTTAAGTTAAATAAAAATAAAACACACTTCTTTTAAGTTATACATATGTTGGGTCGGATTTTTTTGTTTGGTTTATACATTAGGTTTGTTCGGTTTTTTTTGGTCGGCTTGTAAAGTTGATAACAGTAGTCTCTTGACGATATATAAACACAAGTATAGAACAATAGCAATAATAATCCTAACATTAGTATTTAGTAATGAACAATTAACTTCTTGGCCACTAAACGGATTCCAGCATTTCCTGGATAGTTATACGGTTCTAAACACAAGTTAGCGTCCACAAAGCCACCGGGACAAAACAACCAATCCAATTCTGCCACATCATAACTACTATTTGAAACCAGTTGTGGTATAGACAAAGACGATGATGATGATGATGATGACTCCTTTTGGTATATCTCTGTCATCCATCCTCTACTATCTCCATGTTCAGTCCTTAAGCTGTACAAATTACAAATTACTCATACTAATAATTCAAATATAATCATAGTTTTTTATTTTTATTAAAACAAGTACTATATATATATATATATATATATATATATATATATATATATATATATATATATATATATATATATATATGGTTGTGTTCAACAAGGAACCATTTTAAACCTTATAACCAAGGAACTAATCTTTTCTCAACTTTTAGAGAAATTTTTTCATCAAACAAAAATCTGAATATATAAACATTCATAACTATTTATCCTCCATCCATTGATATCAAATTTGATAAAAAAAAAATTAATCTGTTTAGATTTACACTGTGAATTTGTTTAAATTCACATTGTGAATCTATGCAGATTAACCCTGTGAAATTTGTACTGTGAAATTTGTATAGATTCACACTATGAATTTGTGCAAATTTATATAGTGAATTTATACAAAATTAGTGATTTATAGTGTAGATTCACAATGTGAATCCGAACATATAAAAGAAATAAAATAAAAAAATATATTAAATTTGATATCAATGGAAAGAAGATAAAAAGTTATGAATTTTTGTATTTTTATAATTTTATAATTTTTTTCGATAAATAATAAAATAAAAAGTTATGAATTTTTGTATTTTTATAATTTTTTTCGATATATATATATATATATATATATATATATATATATACATATATATATATATATATATATATATATATATATATATATATATATATATTCATTGTGACCCCTATTTCTACTTTAGTAGGTGTTAAAACTAACATGATTTTTTATTTATCATACATACTTTATAAAATAGCATCTTGCTTTCTGAAACGATTTCTCATTTTATAGGTTAGTCATAAAACTTACTTTAATCTAATGGTGGGTGAGTCATAAAACATTCTGTTAACAAGAGGTCTCCATTCAGAGTTGCAATCAAAACCTATGAATCTCTTAGTAATATTATCACATGCATCAAGTAGATCACATAGATTTGGAGAGTTTGCATCCACCACAAAACTTAAGAGTGGTCTTCCAGCATGATCGAGATATTTTGTGCTTAATCCAAACCGTATTCTCATCGAATCACATCGGATCTGTAACGGGATGTCTTTATGAAGGATTTGTATTTTGTGGAACCTATGAAAATAGGGAGAAACGGATACTATAGTGATTGACGCCATGGAAACTTCATTATATGGAATGGCGTTATCAGATTCAACTAGAAATTGAATTTGTTCCCTTGGATTTATAGATTCCTGTGTGATTGATATGTTTGAGTGAGTTTGCATTATAACACGGAGATAATAATTGTGAAACACAACAACCCAACAACACATAAATTAACAACATTCCAATACACGGCCTGGTGATCCAACTATTTCCTCACAAACATATATGACACTCCCATATTGATCCATTGTAAAGACAAGTTCCCAGTATTTCCTATAAGTTAACTTCAATACACAACCCGAGTTGTTCATATGCTCCTTTCAAAGATACTTAACGCTCCGAAGGGGAACTTACTTAACAGATCTCATATGTCGCAAGGACACCTCATGCATCACTTCTGAAGATACTCAAAGTTTTCTCGACTTCAACCTATGTGTTGTTGGGTTGTTGTGTTTTAACCTATTTTCCAGGAAGTATAAAAATGTGAAATAGATTCCAACCAAATTTAACGAGTTCATAGACTAGGGTTTGCACAATTTTTAAGTTGAGAAAGAGATTGGGATTTCCATTTCAAGCTTCTAATTCTAATTTAAGTCGTAATCTCTAACCTAAGTTAAATAAAAATGAAACACACTTCTTTTAAGTTTTAAAATATACATATGTTATACACACTTCTTTTAAGTTAAATAAAAATAAAACACACTTCTTTTAAGTTATACATATGTTGGGTCGGATTTTTTTGTTTGGTTTATACATTAGGTTTGTTCGGTTTTTTTTGGTCGGCTTGTAAAGTTGATAACAGTAGTCTCTTGACGATATATAAACACAAGTATAGAACAATAGCAATAATAATCCTAACATTAGTATTTAGTAATGAACAATTAACTTCTTGGCCACTAAACGGATTCCAGCATTTCCTGGATAGTTATACGGTTCTAAACACAAGTTAGCGTCCACAAAGCCACCGGGACAAAACAACCAATCCAATTCTGCCACATCATAACTACTATTTGAAACCAGTTGTGGTATAGACAAAGACGATGATGATGATGATGATGACTCCTTTTGGTATATCTCTGTCATCCATCCTCTACTATCTCCATGTTCAGTCCTTAAGCTGTACAAATTACAAATTACTCATACTAATAATTCAAATATAATCATAGTTTTTTATTTTTATTAAAACAAGTACTATATATATATATATATATATATATATATATATATATATATATATATATATATATATATATATATATATGGTTGTGTTCAACAAGGAACCATTTTAAACCTTATAACCAAGGAACTAATCTTTTCTCAACTTTTAGAGAAATTTTTTCATCAAACAAAAATCTGAATATATAAACATTCATAACTATTTATCCTCCATCCATTGATATCAAATTTGATAAAAAAAAAATTAATCTGTTTAGATTTACACTGTGAATTTGTTTAAATTCACATTGTGAATCTATGCAGATTAACCCTGTGAAATTTGTACTGTGAAATTTGTATAGATTCACACTATGAATTTGTGCAAATTTATATAGTGAATTTATACAAAATTAGTGATTTATAGTGTAGATTCACAATGTGAATCCGAACATATAAAAGAAATAAAATAAAAAAATATATTAAATTTGATATCAATGGAAAGAAGATAAAAAGTTATGAATTTTTGTATTTTTATAATTTTATAATTTTTTTCGATAAATAATAAAATAAAAAGTTATGAATTTTTGTATTTTTATAATTTTTTTCGATATATATATATATATATATATATATATATATATATATATATATATATATATATATATATATATATATATATATATATATATATATATATTCATTGTGACCCCTATTTCTACTTTAGTAGGTGTTAAAACTAACATGATTTTTTATTTATCATACATACTTTATAAAATAGCATCTTGCTTTCTGAAACGATTTCTCATTTTATAGGTTAGTCATAAAACTTACTTTAATCTAATGGTGGGTGAGTCATAAAACATTCTGTTAACAAGAGGTCTCCATTCAGAGTTGCAATCAAAACCTATGAATCTCTTAGTAATATTATCACATGCATCAAGTAGATCACATAGATTTGGAGAGTTTGCATCCACCACAAAACTTAAGAGTGGTCTTCCAGCATGATCGAGATATTTTGTGCTTAATCCAAACCGTATTCTCATCGAATCACATCGGATCTGTAACGGGATGTCTTTATGAAGGATTTGTATTTTGTGGAACCTATGAAAATAGGGAGAAACGGATACTATAGTGATTGACGCCATGGAAACTTCATTATATGGAATGGCGTTATCAGATTCAACTAGAAATTGAATTTGTTCCCTTGGATTTATAGATTCCTGTGTGATTGATATGTTTGAGTGAGTTTGCATTATAACACGGAGATAATAATTGTGAAACACAACAACCCAACAACACATAAATTAACAACATTCCAATACACGGCCTGGTGATCCAACTATTTCCTCACAAACATATATGACACTCCCATATTGATCCATTGTAAAGAGAAGTTCCCAGTATTTCCTATAAGTTAACTTCAATACACAACCCGAGTTGTTCATATGCTCCCTTTCAAAGATACTTAACGCTCCGAAGGGGAACTTACTTAACAGATCTCATATGTCGCAAGGACACCTCATGCATCACTTCTGAAGATACTCAAAGTTTTCTCGACTTCAACCTATGTGTTGTTGGGTTGTTGTGTTTTAACCTATTTTCCAGGAAGTATAAAAATGTGAAATAGATTCCAACCAAATTTAACGAGTTCATAGACTAGGGTTTGCACAATTTTTAAGTTGAGAAAGAGATTGAGATTTCCATTTCAAGCTTCTAATTCTAATTTAAGTCGTAATCTCTAACCTAAGTTAAATAAAAATGAAACACACTTCTTTTAAGTTTTAAAATATACATATGTTATACACACTTCTTTTAAGTTAAATAAAAATAAAACACACTTCTTTTAAGTTATACATATGTTGGGTCGGATTTTTTTGTTTGGTTTATACATTAGGTTTGTTCGGTTTTTTTTGGTCGGCTTGTAAAGTTGATAACAGTAGTCTCTTGACGATATATAAACACAAGTATAGAACAATAGCAATAATAATCCTAACATTAGTATTTAGTAATGAACAATTAACTTCTTGGCCACTAAACGGATTCCAGCATTTCCTGGATAGTTATACGGTTCTAAACACAAGTTAGCGTCCACAAAGCCACCGGGACAAAACAACCAATCCAATTCTGCCACATCATAACTACTATTTGAAACCAGTTGTGGTATAGATAAAGACGATGATGATGATGATGATGACTCCTTTTGGTATATCTCTGTCATCCATCCTCTACTATCTCCATGTTCAGTCCTTAAGCTGTACAAATTACAAATTACTCATACTAATAATTCAAATATAATCATAGTTTTTTATTTTTATTAAAACAAGTATATATATATATATATATATATATATATATATATATATATATATATATATATATATATATATATATATATATATGGTTGTGTTCAACAAGGAACCATTTTAAACCTTATAACCAAGGAACTAATCTTTTCTCAACTTTTAGAGATATTTTTTCAGCAAACAAAAATCTGAATATATAAACATTCATAACTATTTATCCTCCATCCATTGATATCAAATTTGATAAAAAAAAATTAATCTGTTTAGATTTACACTGTGAATTTGTTTAAATTCACATTGTGAATCTATGCAGATTAACCCTGTGAAATTTGTACTGTGAAATTTGTATAGATTCACACTATGAATTTGTGCAAATTTATATAGTGAATTTATACAAAATTAGTGATATATAGTGTAGATTCACAATGTGAATCCGAACATATAAAAGAAATAAAATAAAAAAATATATTAAATTTGATATCAATGGAAAGAAGATAAAAAGTTATGAATTTTTGTATTTTTATAATTTTATAATTTTTTTCGATAAATAATAAAATAAAAAGTTATGAATTTTTGTATTTTTATAATTTTTTTCGATATATATATATATATATATATATATATATATATATATATATATATATATATATATATATATTCATTGTGACCCCTATTTCTACTTTAGTAGGTGTTAAAACTAACATGATTTTTTATTTATCATACATACTTTATAAAATAGCATCTTGCTTTCTGAAACGATTTCTCATTTTATAGGTTAGTCAGAAAACTTACTTTAATCTAATGGTGGGTGAGTCATAAAACATTCTGTTAACAAGAGGTCTCCATTCAGAGTTGCAATCAAAACCTATGAATCTCTTAGTAATATTATCACATGCATCAAGTAGATCACATAGATTTGGAGAGTTTGCATCCACCACAAAACTTAAGCGTGGTCTTCCAGCATGATCGAGATATTTTGTGCTTAGTCCAAACCGTATTCTCATCGAATCACATCGGATCTGTAACGGGATGTCTTTATGATGGATTTGTATTTTGTGGAACCTGTGAAAATAGGGAGAAACGGATACTATAGTGATTGACGCCATGGAAACTTCATTATATGGAATGGCGTTATCAGATTCAACTGGAAATTGAATTTGTTCCCTTGGATTTATAGATTCCTGTGTGATTGATATGTTTGAGTGAGTTTGCATTATAACACGGAGATAATAATTGTGAAAACTTAGACAGTGTAGTTGGAAGTTAAAAAATCTTGTTTGTTAACAACAACAAATAAATAAATAAATAATAAAAAAATAAAAATTCAAACATTCCATACTGAATGCGAAGCCTTCTCTAGGGATGTTTTTATTCGGTGGGGAGGGAAGAGTGTTTTTTTTTCTTCCCTCCTTAAATGATATGTTATAATTATAAATTACTTTTATTATATCATCTTCAATAATTTTAATCTTTTAAAAAATTTTAGAATTTCAATTAATTTTTTAATCTATCCAAAAAGTAAACAATATTATTTGAAATACATTTAACATGTATTTTAAAAGAAAAGTAATATGCACATGTGCACTTTGTTTAAAGATATATCTTTATTTACTTACAATTTAGTTTTATGATTATTTTTATTTACTTATCAATTTAGTTTTATTGCTTTATCATTTATACACTATAACATGGATTAAAGACTCATTCTATTCCTTCAAGCCAACAAAATATGATAATAAAATATAATAGAAAAATATAATAATAAAATATAATTATCTATTGGGAAAATGATATGTGAGAGTAATTAATTTTCGTCTTGTTCAAATTTAAGCAATTTTATTTTTTTTATACACATGTTTACAAAAACATAAATTGTCAAAATATGAATATATATATATATATATATATATATATATATATATATATATATATATATATATATATTATAAATTTCTTTAATTTCTTACAATACTTTTAAGATATTTTTTTCTAAAGGTTTTTCTAATAAAATGTTTTAAACTTTTCTTATATTTTTTAATACTTTTTTAATATTTTCATATAATTTTAATACAAGTGTTTTTAAACCAAATATTTTATAAATGTTTTAAAATTTTCTTCCAAGTTTTTAAGTTTTTTTTTACATGGTCATATAATTTTTTTTTTGTAACTTTCATACATTTATTTCTAAACTTTCTTTTATAATATTTTTAAAGTGTTTCATAGATTTGTATAACCATTTATTATTTTTTTATCATTTTAAAATACTTTCGTTAAATACTAGTTTAAAATATTGTATTAAAAAAAATTTAAAAGTTTATAAACTTCTAATTAAAAGGTATTAAAAAGTTGTAATATTTTAAAAACATTTACATTATAAAGTTTTTTTTTTGTTTTTTGATATGCTAAGTAACTTTTGCTTTTTATTTTTTTAAAAGATCATCAATACTTGTTGTTATATATTTAATTTATTTAATTTTATTGTTAAATACTATTACTTTAAAAATATTTTATATTCTTAAAAGACAAGAAATAATTTATAAGATGCTATGTAAAATATTTCAAAAAACAAAAACATATTTATTATTAAAAAATAAAGTTTAAAACTGATCAATATTTAGAAGATTTTGGATACTTTAAAAATAACATTTGAAAAAAAATATATAAACAAATATGAAAATAAAATCGTTATTAAAAGTGGGGAAAATGACTTATCAGAGTAATTACCTTTTCGTTTTGTTTATATTTAAACAACTTTCTTTGTATATATTTAATCATTTAACTTATTAATATATTCAAATATTATCATTGTAACCTGCTATAGCCGGTAATAATAGTAATATGTGAATACATATAACAAGTTATAAATAATCAAATATACACAAAATAAAGAAGTTGTCTTAATATGAACAAAACGACAAAAATAATTACCCTAATAAATTATTTTTCCATATCTATTTTATTAGTTTGCTTATTTCAGTACGTTATGATTCTATTCCATCATACCAAATAAACTCATAAACAGATTCATAGAGAAATTAATGTTTAATTCCTTGAGAAATTACCAAGAAAAGAACTGTCGCGCAACACTTGACAACTTCAAAATTCATTCGAACGTCGGCTAAACTCCTGAAAGTTGATGTTGAAGGAGAAGAGTTAAGATGATGATGTTTTTTATATGAAAATTTTACAAATTTTGAATTCTAAAATGTGGTGATGCATTATATATTTGTCGGTGGATAGGGAAATTACCTGTGTCTTTGTTCTCCAAGCTCAAAATAAGCAGCCAGACTATCCATCTGAACAAATAAAATCATGAGAAATAGTCTGAAACAAAAAATTTTGAAGAAAAAAATATCGATAAATTACAAAAAAAAAAGGCAATTTGTCTGTCTTTAAATACTTTTATGTGCAATAGATGTTTTATTAACACGTATGTAGATATGTATGTGTGTACATGATGGATGTGTGTCTACTTTTATGAACAAACAAACAAAAAAATTTAAATGATTCATCTTCATAACGAAAGTTAGAAAGTATAAAACTTTATTCCAATAATTTTGTTTTCTAATTGCAAACAAAATAGAATATTGTTGTAATTAGTTGTCTAAAATCGAAAGGGAAATGATTCGTACACAACAATTTTTATCCATCCACAAAAATTCATGTTTTATAGAGTTATACAATACAATACTTTAATAAATAAATAAATTGTTATGTATGGAAAAAAAATTAATGTGTAAGAATCAATTACCAAATCGAAACTTCATAATTTAAAACGAACATATTCAATATTTAATTTACTCATAATGACAGATAAAAATAAAAGGGAAATCATTGTAATGCAATTATTTATACGTGTTTTTGTACCAATGGGCGGATGCAAAAGCATTGAGAGGGGGGAAAGTGCCCCCAATGATCAGATTTTTTATATATTATTTATATATGATTTTGGATAAAAAAAAAAACTATATATCTAATGTCAGCTGCACTTAAAATTGGGCTAGGATAGGATCTTCAAAAAAATGAAACTTGGGGGCACAAATTATCATTCCTCTACAATTAATATGTTTCCTTTTACATCTAAATGATTCACGAGTCTTTCTATTATCATTGTGTTTCAAGATATATTATCTATATTGAACTACTTATTTATAAGATTTATAAAGATCGTTAAGGATAGATGATTTATCTTGAATAATATTTATTTGAACTCCCATATTTTCAACTTATTCTAATTAATTGTTTGATTAATTGAAATTTTTTCTATATAAGAACATTATTTCATGTTTGGTTACTCGTAATGAAAGAAAAAGTTAAATGATGAAATGTGTTCGGGGAAAGTAAATGTGAATATAATAATCAAGGGTTTGAAAGCCTAAAATGTATTTAGGTGATTTTTTTCAATTTTAACTTATACTTACATCTTTTTCATTCTATTTTCTTTATATTTCAAGAAAATATTCATGGTTGTATATTTTGAGCCAAATTATATGAAATAAAAGTTGTGACCTATCTAAATAAATTGCAAATGAAGCATCTTAATATCTTTGGCAATAAAAAAAATGTAAAAATTAGATTTTTGAATTCCATAAATTTTAATAGTCCAATATCTTTTAAAGTATTATCCAATATGCATAGGCAAATACAATTTACAATAAAAAAAATGAATCATAAATCATCGTTTCACAACACGTTAACATTCGATCTTCAATTTTTCATAATTGTCAATCCAATTTGCAACCATCGGTAAATAAATTCAACTTTATTAACTTTGTGAAAATTGATTAAAGTATATTGAAATTATATTTACAATTCGAGTATTTCATGAGCATCAAAAAGTCGACAATGCCATTATTATAATGCGTGAATTGAATATTTATAATTTTGTTATAGGTTTAATTGTATTCGTTGTTGGTTTTCTTTTCTTTTGTTTTTCTAATTATTGCTTGTTAAAATTTATTCGAGAAGCATCAAAGACAAAACTATTAAATATTTGGTAATACTTAGTGAATATATTTTTCATTTTTCTATTGTTCTATGAGTTCATACTAGGTAGTTTTATTGTTTCAATATTTCAATGTGAATTGATTATTTGATTGTTGTTTATTTCAAAATTCAAAATCAAGAATGTCTTTAAAAATAATTTGACTTTTTTGCTTATACAATTTCATTTAAATAGTGAACCATAATATATATATATATATATATATATATATATATATATATATATATATATATATATTATCGGTTTCATTTAAATAGTGAACCATATAATTTTACTTTCTAGACCCGCCATTGTTTTTAAGTGATGGTTATTCATTAAGAATAATGACTTAAAAGGGTAACATATTTTTCGATTTGTATACATTTGATCGCTGAGTTTTTTTTTTTTTTTTCGTCCACATTTACTCTTTTAACTTGTTAAACTGTAGACATTCAGTCCTTATGATCGATTACTCCAGGTTAGCTGAAAATAATGACTTATTAGGGTAATATATTTTCACATTTTCTACACGTTTAATCCTTAATATTTTTGTAAACATTTAATCGTTAATTATATTTCTTTTTTCTTTCAAAATAAATCTCTTTTTACTGTTTTACCCACCACCATTTAGCCCCCAAAAAAATTTCTCAAGAGAAAACATGTAGATCAACATGCCCTTCCCATTTACATCCTATTTTTCTTATCTATATTCTCTCTTCTCCACCCTCAATCTTTCTGGATAATTATCGTTTATCTATTTTCATCCATGTTTCTTTTCCGTATTGTTTGCATTTTGCACGTGCGTATCTCTTTGTGGTTTGATTACAAAATATAAGTTGAACCCAATAAATAAATTTCTAATTATAAAATTCAAATTTCGACGCTTCTAAAAATTCAATTTTTAAAGATGGCTTCATCAAAAGATTCCGGGAATCAGTAACTAACATACCTTCATGTCACCGGCTCTCCTCCCAAACCTCTGTGTCAGCAACGCCAATGAATCAATGGTTCCTTTGGGTTCCGGCGGCGGCCGATTTATCTGCGCATACGCCTCCCTTAACCTCACGCAATCAAACCTCAATATATTGTGACCCGCCCATACTCTTCCTGTTAAAGATTCAATTCACAATTCAGTTACCACTTTTATACAAAATTCTGTAGTATAAAGGGAGATTGGCTGATTGGGGATATCAATTTTACCATGTAAGATGTCGTAAACCCTATCTGCGATATCCGAAAAGGACGGGGCGGAGAAGACAGCGTCGGCGGTGATTCCATTGGATCGAACGAAGGAGTCAGAAATTAGAGAGCGATCGTGTGGTCTAACCAGTGTATCGAAGCTATCCAGCTCAATCAGCCTCTCAGGGCAAACTAAAATCGACCCAAATTCCAAAATTGCATGCGCCTCTCCGGGTCGGGTTGGGATAGTGGTTTCCAGATCGAAGAAAGCTATCTCCGATCGGTCTACGCTCGACGCCATATTGCAACTCTGTGTGTATGTGTGTGTCAGAGAGAGAGAGAGAGAGGGGGAGAGAGAAACGGAAGAATTAAGGCGCGATATCGGAGTTAAACATCAATGGCGATGTAGTGTGCGTGATCATGAATTCATGATCCTGATCCCCTGCTTTATATATAGAAAGCGGAAATACAAGTGGTTTAAGCTTTGGAGAAGAAACTTACTTTTGATAATGGAGTGTTCAATTATAAATAAAAAACTAAAAGTTTAAAAATTCTAACTTATAATTCGTTAATCGTTTAAGGTTTGTCAAACATGCACAAGGACTAAAATATGAATTTTTTTTTTTTTTTTTAAAATTCTTAAATGAACTTTTAATGAGTCGTGATTATTTTGTTTTAATGGAACTTATGACTTGTCATTCTTTTGGAAAAAAAAGTTAATAATAATGTGATCTTCTTAATGTTATCATGAGTTGAGCTTCTCATTTCCATTTTTATTCATGAAAACATAATTTTAAAGTGAAGATCTATTAATTCTTGTCATGTTTTAATAAAGGGCAAAAGGCACTTCGTTGCTAGAAAAAGATTAACCAACATAGGATTTGTTAGTAGCTTTTCTTATTCATTGGTCACTTTATCGAAAATTATTACTCCTTCGTCAACATTTTCTGTATTTTCTTTGACACGTATTCCATTCAAATCAAAAGGAGCTCCTTTATGCATAGTTGCCCAAAAAATATGTAAAAAATGAATCTGAAAAATGATAAATAATTCAACATTTCTTAAATTTCAATAATTTATTTCTTTCTCTTCTTAAAAAGTTTAAGATATTCCCGCTTAAAACATAGGAGCATTACCCCTACTAATAATCCTGATTGAAACCTCTATAATTTAAACTTTTAGACCTTCTCTATGTATGCTTACCCAATAAGTCATCATAGGAATGATTATTTTAGAAATACAATAATTAATTTTGACTAGAAAATGTAAATTACCTATTTTGTACTGCATAAAGAATCTAATGTTTATTTTTGAAAATTTTCCATCGTTTTGTATCTTTTTACCTATCAATAAATATTGATTCAAATTTCAGAGTTTAATTAAACTTTCATTGTGTTGTCTGTACAAGATTTTAAGTGTTTGACAAGAAAGTAAAAAAAAAATTTAAAATGTGAATATAAATAAGTTAGATCAATTACGTAGAATATTTCTACCAAATTTCAATAAAAGGTATTTTATTTTATTGAACAATTTTGAAACTAAATTAAAAACGAGTAGAAGAAGATGTTAAATAAGAAGGGAAATTGAGAAGTTACCTAGAAACGAAGGAAAGTTTAAAGTGAAAAAGAGAAATGACGTACGTGCATGGATTCTTTGTCTTCCTTCCCCCGCAAGTTATTGGTTTTCATTTATTTTTTAATGATGCACATTCCATATATTTATGGGAAATCTCCAATAAAATCCTAAAAGTTTAGTCCGGTTTATGTTTTAGTCCTAAACTAATTTTTGTTTACGAAAAAGTCACAAAAACCAGCAAAAGTTTGCATTTTGACCCTTTTTGACTGGTTGGAACCGGTAACAAATTAATTTAGGATTATTTCATAAATTGACCCAAAATATTGGGACTTTTTTGCAAAAACAAAAAGTATTAGGGTTTTTCTGCAAACAAAAACCATATTATTATTATATTTAAAATATAAATAAGTATACTATTTTTTAAATTTGTTATTATTAATATTATTAATAATACATATAAATACATTTAAATTAAAAAAATATTAAAGATATTTTATAAAGGTGAAGATTGAGCGGATGGTAATGCTTTAAGCTTTGTAATCATGAATGTTTGTTTGTATATTCTAACTTTGTATATGGTCATTTCACATTTGTTATTATTGTTTTTAATTCAGAATATTAACATTTAACAATTTAAAAGAAGCTACTGATTTTTCAAATTGTTTACAAATAGTGAGCATATGATATGCGTGTATGTCTTTTGTGTAAGTATTTTTGAATTACCAACATGTGTGTTGCTCTTTTTCATTACTTTATCCTTGTGGTTTTTTTTGGAAACATAGCAGATATAGTATGATAAAGCAAAATAAATCATATTACTTTCTATTAAATAAGATATTTTAATTAATATTTTCGAATTTTGATATGGACCACCAATGTAAATATTTATTGGGGATCTGTTGGATTTGAAAAGAAATTATTCTACCTTAAGAAATTTTATATACAAAATGAGAAATCCTTTTATCTTAAACTACTTATACATAATTTTATAAATAGACAACTTCTTTGAAATTGAAAACAATAATAAGAAATGTGAAATGATCATATACAAAATAAGGACATACAAGCAGTGATTTCAATGCTTAAAGCATTACCATCACCACCACCTTCACCTTTAAATAATTTCTTTAATATATTTTTATGTAAGTGTATTTATATGTATTATTAAAAATATTAATAATAATGAATTTAAAAATTAGTATACTTGTTAATAATAATAATAATAATAATAATAATAATAATAATAATAATAATAATAATAATAATAATAAGATTTTTGTTTGCAGAAAAGTCCTAATATTTTTTTTGCAGGAAAAATCCCAATATTTTAGGTCATTTTGTGAAATAGTCCAAATATTTTAGGTTAGTTTATGAAATAGTCACAAATTAATTTTTTGCCGGTTCCAACCAGTCAAAAGGGGTCAAAATGCATACTTTTGCCAGTTTTTAGGACTTTTTCGTAAACAAAAATTAGTTTAGGACTAAAACGTAAACTGCGCCAAAATTTTAGGATTTTATTGGAGATTTCCCTATATTTATTTAAAAATATATAGTTTATGAGCGTGTTTGGTACGAAGAGTTTCGGAGTTTCTAACTTCTACCTTTTGATAAAACATTTTAGTTTAAACAAAAAAACTTTATTTGCTAGTACGAGTGTTTAGTTTTTAATTTAAATAAAACGTTTCAAATCCAAAAGTTACTTAATGTAGCGTTTAAAAAAATGCTACTGAACTTTTTAAATCAATTTCCAGAATCATTCTTATATATATATATATATATATATATATATATATATATATATATATATATATATATATATATATATATATATATATATATATATATATATATATATATATATATATATATAAGGGAAAAGTGAATATACCCTTAAGGGTATATAAGCTTAAGTACTCAAACTCACCATAATACATCGTTTTGTTTGATATATTCATTATAATGTTCTCAAAATTCAACCCCTAACCTTATTCACTTTGAAGATTTTTGAAATTTCACTATTAACTTACTCTTACATCATATCTTTTTGTCTAACACCTACTAGGCTTCTAACACCCCATTTATGGTATGTAATTCAATAAAGTTTTTTCATTTCTGAAGGAGGTACTCGAACGCTGCCTGCTGCTCAGGCCCCCATCGAAAGACCACGATCTTCCTAGTCAACCGTGTCAGGAGCACGGCTATCTTGGAGAAATCTTGAATGAATCTTCGATAATATCCTGCTAATCCTAGGAAACTCCGAATCTCAGATGGAGACTTCGGAACCTCCCATCTCATCACGGCCTCCACCTTGGCCGGGTCTACTGAAATCCCGTTCTGGTTGACGAGGTGCCCAAGAAACTGCACCTCGCGCAACCAAAACTCACATTTGGAGAACTTGGCGTACAAGCTCTCCCTCCTCAAGGTCTCCAAAACCTCTCTCAGATGCTCCTCGTGCTCCTCCTGCATCTTGGAATAAACCAAGATGTCATCAATGAAAACTATCACTGACCGATCCAGCATCGGTCTACACACGCGGTTCATGAGGTCCATGAACGTGGCAGGAGCATTGGTGAGCCCAAACGGCATCACCACGAACTCATAATGGCCATAGCGCGTCCGAAACGCGGTCTTCTGTACATCCTCCTCTCTGACCCTCATCTAATGATAACCTGAACGCAAAACGATTTTAGAGAACCAAGATGCTCCCTGCAACTGATCAAAGAGGTCATCAATCATCGGGAATGGGTAACGGTTCTTCACCGTTACCTTATTCAGCTCCCGGTAATCTATACACATCCGATGCGACCCGTCCTTCTTCTTCACAAACAGGATTGTGGCTCCCCAGGGTGAACTGCTCGGTCGAATAAATCCCTTGTCTAGCAGCTCCTGCAGCTGCGTAGACAACTCCTGCATCTCGGGAGGAGCCAACCGATAGGGTGCCTTGGCTATCGGAGCCGCACCAAGAACTAGGTCGATCCTGAACTCTACCTGATGCTCCGGAGGTATTCTAGGAAGCTCCTCCGGGAAAACATCAGTGTAGTCTCGCACCACTGGAACCTCGCTCACCGTCGCTTTACCCGTCTCCCGGGTATCCAGAACATACGCGACATATCCCGCGCAACCCTGCTGAAGGTAGCGCCTAGCTCTCGCTGCTGAGCATACTGCAGGTCCACGCTGCGGCCTCTCGCCGTAGATCACCAACTCTCCCCCACTCGGGGTCCTGATCCGCACTAGCTGATGTGCGCAATCTATTACCGCCCTATTAGGGCTCAACCAATCCATGCCTATAATCACCTTGTTCCCCCGCAACGGAATGGGAACCAAGTCCACCAAATAGTTCTCCTCAAATAACCTCATAACACAATCCCTGAACACTGCTGATGCTCGTACCGATCGATCATCGCCAATCTCTACCTCTAAAGGGCAATCCAACATGCCCGAGGACTCAGTAAACCTCTTGCTAAGCGCAAGGGAAACAAATGACCGAGTGGCACCCGAGTCAAACAACATCTGAACTGGGATACTGTTCACATGGAACGATCCTAACGCATAAACACAGGGCACATATCAATAACACAACATCATAAAAATAAAATAGAGGGAAAGAATCATACTCGTCACCACATCAGGTGCGGCGCGTGCCTCCTCTGTAGTCAGCTGAAACGCCCGACTCTTCACCACTGGAGCCTCTGCCTTGCCCTACCATCCATCTGTAATCCGCAGGGTAGCTGGAGCTGGCGCCTTAACCGGTGCTGATGATGTCAACTGGGGGCAATTGGCCTTCTTATGGCCCCTCTGGTTGCAATGGAAACATAGAAACTCAGACGTCTTCATCGCAGGTGCAGGGGAGGTACAATCCCAGCTGAAGTACCCTGGCTTGCCGCACTTGTAGCAGCCTGACGATCCTATCTTGCACACTCCCTCGTGTGCCCTGCCGCAT